CAGAAAAAAAACTTGTTATGCAGATTTTCTAAATGCTGATGTGAAAAAAAAATGCAGTTATTGTCAGCACACAGTTAAATAACTCTAGTATCAGAAACCTCAGTGGTGGATACAAATTTTCTAAAATTCTAATTTTCATGTAAAACCCCAAGTAACCCTATTAGCAGTAAATATTGAAATGCATTCCTGTCTTTGTTCATTTCTGTAAAACATCTGCCAGATACTGAATCTGAATAACCATAATTCCTTTGTCATTCTTTCAAGTAAAACAATGTTTCCTAACAAAAGTCACTAGTTAAATTCACAAGTCAGTTGCACAAGTACCTTTTCTTTGAGATAGTTGAAACTGGAGAAGTTGGTCTGCTGCAGAAGTGATTCATGTATAATCCCTGTTTTTATCACACAATTAGAAAAGGTTTCTTGTCTTCATTTCTTCTTGGGCACTAGAAATATGTCCCCCTTGGCATAAGTGTAAACTTTACCACATGGACACTCATGTGTACATATGCCACATACATGTATTGGTGTCTTAATTTGCCCTTGTGGGCTCTTTGAAATGGTCTCAGGCCTGCCCATATGGGCCTGTGGACTAATCACTTCTATTACAAATGACTATTACTTTTTTTTAATATAAGTTCTTGTGGGGCTTGAACTCTGGGCTCTTCAGCTCAAGGCAAGCACTCCAGCACTTGAGCCACAGTGCCACTTCAGTTTTCTTGTGCTTAATTGTAGATAAGAGTCTCACTGACTTTCTCACCCAGGCTGGCTCTGAACCTCAATCTTCAAATCTCAGCTTCCTGAGTAGCTAGGATTACAGTCATGAGCCATGGTGCCCGGCATTAATACAAGTTCTTTAAAGGACTTTATAATAGGGATGAAAAGAATTTGGACTGCCAGGTTTTTGTGGCTCAGGCCTGCAATTGTGGCTACTCAGGAGGCTGAGATTTAAGGATTGTGGTTCAAAGCCAGCCCAGGCAGAAAAGTCTGTGAGATTTATCTCCAGTTAACCACCAAAAAGCAGGAGATAGGACTGTAGATCAAGTGGAAAAGTGCCTTCCTTTAGCAAAAAAAAAAAAAGCACTGGGATACTGCCCAGGCCCTGAGTTCAAATGACAGGACTGGTGCAAAAAGAAAACAATTTTTTTCAAATAATTGTTAATTCTTTGTTCTTTGGTAGGTAGGTATGAAATCCAAGTATTTTCTGTTTCCCTTCAGAATAATGACTTTTAAGAGTACTGTGATCTTTTCAATAGTCTTAATGTTGAAGGCTGATAACTTGTATCAGAAATCACTGGGTTTGGGCTGGGAAGTTGGCTCAGTGGTAGAGCGCTTGCCTTGCATGCTCGAGGCCCTGGGTTCGATTCCTCAGCACCACATAAGCAAAAAGAAAAAAGCCGGAAGTGGCGCTGTGGCTCAAGTGGTTGAGTGCTAGCCTTGAGCTGAAGAGCTGAGGGACAGCCCAGGCCCAGAGTTCAGGCCCCATGACCGGACCCAAAAAAAAAAAAAAGAAATCACTGGGTTTTTAGATTATGTAGTTATGTTTCAGGGAACAGAAACCCATCTTGTCAGTTTAAGCATAAACTCATAACAGATAAAGTATTAGTGTCCAAGCTTTGATTGGTCAAAACACAATCAGATTAATCACAGACAGTGATGTTGCTTTATGATTGGCCAGTATTAGGTCACATACATGGCAAGTCTTCTGTGTTTTAGACTCTCCATTGAAACTAGTGTTGCCACGTAGGCAACTACTGTAACTATGTAAGCATGCAAAAACTAGCGGAAGCATGCAAAAAAAAGGAGAAAAAAAACTATCAAAGACACATCTGTATCTTCTCCACCTATAGATGGTTGGTTCCCTATTTTCCCTTTGAGGGTGATGTGATACGTTCATTACATTTCAAGTATATGTATAAAATTGAGTTCCCAGTTGATCAACAGTTTTATCAAACATCCCAATTCCGTTTCATTTTCCTGCTTTAAAACAGCATTATCTTCAGTAATGGAAAGTTTAAGACCAATAAGCAAGTAAGATGTGATCAACATCCTTTAGAGAAATACAGACCCAAACCATGAGATAGCCCTGTCGTGCTCTCCCAGGATGGTGGTGAAGATTGGCAGTACCCAGTGTTTGTGTGGCAAAAGTGGACCCTCACACATGGCAGAGGGGAATGCAAAGCGGGGCACGTAGTCAGCCCTGGGCTGGGCATAGCTCAGTGATAGAACATTGCCAAGTAGGAATGAAGTGCTGGGTTCAATCTAGTGCAGCTGGCAGTGATTGAGAATATGAAATAGTTAACATGTACTCAGCAGTTGCACTCCGACATGTTAACCCAGGGGAATTACAAACCTTTCTCTGCATGAAAATGCATGTACAAAGCACATGAGAGTCCAGACTAGAAAATAACCCGAAACATCCATAAACTGATGAATGCATGATCAAAACGTGCTGTCTGTCCAGTGGAGTATTATTTTCTTATAAAAAGGAATGAAGTACTGATAAAAGCAACAGAATAGAAGATGTACCTTGAAAATAAGCTGCCTTTAAGAAACCAATTGCAAAAGATTATGGAATGGTATGTAAAAACTCCCCAAAATAAAGACATCTTATGATTTTCCCTAAATTTTAGGTGTTTAAGAGCTGTATTTCTGACCACATACACATTTCCTAATGTCATAATATTAAGCCCCAAAGTAAGCAGTCAGTTCTTTTGTGGCGAACAGCTGACTGTTCTCAAATGAGTTTCTGATGCAGAGATAGCATCAAATCACAGGTTGAAAGCTCAGGTCTGCAGGACTGCCTGCCCCTCCCTTTCAGATGGTAGGAGCCAGCACAGGTTGTGGCCTGCACATCTGATGGACTAGCTATAAGTCAGGATTGCTATGCTTCTTCCCTTGGTTCAGTTTACTTGAAGGTTTATGGGGATGCAGATAATGTGGAAATGGGGTGTGGATCTCGCCCAGTATGCCACCCTCCAGGTACCAACACATTTTGCTCCATTTGTTTGGGGAACATCTGGCCTGCCTATGTATGTCCAAATGGCCTTGGCAGAGAAAAGGTTCCCATCCATAACTGTTAGCTGAAATGCCAAACAAGTTTTTTTTTTTTTTTTTTTTTTATTGTTTTGGAAGCCCTGTCTTGTAGGTGTATGATAATTGGCTATTGGTAAAGATTATCACTTTAACCTTCTACCTGTTTCTTCTGGCTGGCTGATTGGGGAAGCTGAAAAGTCCCAGCCCCCTAATTATGCCCTCTGCTCTTTTGTGATCCACCCATACTCCAAACCCCTAGCTGCTACATCAGCATGCTGAAGACAGTTGTTTAGTTTTTCTTTTTGAGACAGTGTCATATATAGAGAACAGGCTGGGCTTGAACCTTTCATTCTCTTGCCTATGACTCCTCTTGAGTGCTGGGATTATAAACACATGCCACCAGGTGCCCAGTTCCCAACAGTGCTCTTAATTAAACTCCAAGATTTTTAGGAGCTGTACATCAGTGGACAAGATATATTTGATAATATTACGTTATTGACTTGGTAGGTAAATCTGTAAGGACACTGATTACCACAGTAATCAGTGGTTGGGACAAAAAGGAAATGGACAATGAATGCTTTTAGGTATGGGTTGTTTTTGTAGGGACGACAGTCACTTGGAGTTAAGTAGTGGCAATCAGTGTATAACTTTGTAAGTATACTAAGAAACACTTCTCTGTACGCTATAAGTGAACCATAAGGTATGTAAATTGTGTCTAAATAATGCTATTCTGGGAAGTGGCGCTGTGGCTCAAGTGGTAGAGTGCTTGCCTTGAGCTGAAGAGCTGAGGGACAGCGCCCAGGCCCAGAGTTCAAAACCCATGACCAACAAAAAGTAATAATGCTATTATGGTAATAACAAAGAAAGTTCAAGAGAAATTAGGGCTATAACAATTTTATACTACTGTGGGGTCATCATTGAATTTCTCCCAACAACTCTTTTTCACTGGCTTTTCCTTCTATCTAGCCTTTCTCTTTATTAAGTTCATTTACTCAGCAAATATTTATTCAGCATGTAGGTCTGAGGCTCTGTTGTAATCAATGAGGTCAGATCAGTGAGTAACACAGGCTCAATTCCTGTTTAGGCACATCAATACCGCTCATCCCCAGCCTTAAAGCTGATCCTGTGGGGGATGTTCAACCATTGTGAGTTAGGCTTGTTGTAGATTGCTTTGTTTCCTTTACTAAACTCAAACTTATACTAAGCCTTAAAGTTAAAGGGAAAGGAAATTCTAAATATTTTGTATCTGCTAAGTTTTTCCTTGAGGCTTGTGGGAAAGTGTGTTGTTAGAATGAGAAGACCTAATATTGGATTTTATTACTATATGCCATTAGTGAAATTTAATATTCTTAAGCCTTCGTTTCTGCAACTATAAAATTTAAACTCTAGTACTTTTTCCTGAATTAAGCTTTTAATAATACAAAACACTTTTATTTAGATTAATAATAATTAAGTAACACCTTGTTTTGGATTTGGTCAAATGAAGTGGAGTGCTAGGAACTGGAAGGGGAGACAGTTTTCACATTGTCCAAGATACTTCAGATAGAATTAACTTTGTGGGAATTCAAGCATTTTTGCGTACTGTCTACCAACTGCCAAGTCAGCCACGAAGTTTCATTTTTCCTAGCTACTTTCTTAGGCTTTATGGAATTCTATGTCACATTACTAAAAAGCAGAATCTGACTGAGCTTATAACTGCCTAAGCTAAAGCAGATTTTTATTTTAACTATTGTTCTGCTTATGGATTGGCTTTTCCTGAGTCTTGGGGTGCTTGCCTTCTCTCTCCCAGCACCAGTCAGCTGAGTTGTGGAGAGCGAGGCATGTCATTGGAGCTGCTTTGGGAGTCTTCCTAAAAAGAGCAGTTTGTTTTTGTTTTTGTTTTTTTTTTTCATTTTAAACAAGAAGTTTATTTAAACAACAAGACGCTTGACTTGAAGGGAAAACTATCTAGGATTCTTTTTTTTTTCAAGAGTAATTTACCCCTACTTAAAGACAGATTGCCCTACATGTAACAGCTACGTACAAAAAAAGTTATAAAATTGTCCTTCGTTTTACAATGATAAATGAAAACATTAAAATTCTCCAATCAAACAAGGTATGCAAGGATTTTTGTTGTTTTTTTCTTTTTTTTTTTGTTAAAACAGTGAGAGCAAAATAACTTACTGAAATATAAAGATAAAAGCTGAATGTGCATGCCACGAATGGAGAAGGGGGATATTTTCACAGGACCAGTATTCTTCCCCAACCCATCTCCATTTGATGTCAATCAAAATATACCATTGGCCATTTAGTTTAAAAGAAAAAGAAAGAAGAAAAGCAATATGCTTGTGCACATACACCAGTTACTTTATGTACAATAAAGGAATGGGGAAGGGGAAAATGAAAGAATAGAGAAAACTATACTGTAGTAGTCAGGATGTGGTGGAACCAAATTGCAGTTTTCTAATTAAGAATGTGTTCTTGGTCTATAAGAACAAAGTTCTGGAGCAAAATAGCAGGTTCCCTTTTTTAGTAGACACCTCCTGTCTGCTGCTAGAACACATCAATTGTATCTTCATCCTCCATTTCCAACTGTGCAGGTGTGTCTGTGTCATTGATTGGCTGCCCATCAAATCGGAATCTGACCTGCCTCACTGACAAACCCTGTCGTTCACAATAGGCTTTCATTAGTTTACTAAGTGGTGCATGCCTCTTCATCTTAAACTGCACCACAGAACCATCCTGCCCCGCCACCTTCAAATTAATATGATCGTTGTTCTCAGTCTTGACTCCTTCCTTGGGCTTTTCGTCCGCCATCGCGAGCGCCGGAGTCTCCTCAGATGCCGCTTCACAAAAGAGGTCCCCGGTCCGCACCGAACGAGCACACAGGCAGCACCAAAGAGCAGTTTCTTTAGAGAAGACTGTGTTAATATAACATTAGTTAATCTTATTCTCATTCTTTTCCACTACCTTTCTACTCACTTATAATCTGATATAAATCACTGTGGCCTCATTATTGTCTCATTTCCAAAGTAGTTCTCTGTTTTTGGTATTGCTTCTCTCAGTTCATAAAGTAACCCACCTGTATGGTCCTTTTTGTGTGTCTCCACCCCTCCCCCCATGTTAGAAATCTATTCTTTACCACCCATAATTGGAAGTAGGTAAAACCAGATAGGGCAGAATGGTCATAAAGTATATTGAAGTCTAGTCAGTTCTTTTTTGCCTGCCTCTTTTCTTCTGAGAAGCTCCTCCCCAGCTGTGTTGATAATCAGATGACTGTTTTGGTGGTTAGACCATAGCCTACAATAAGAGTTCCAAACACAAGCTAGTTCCCTTGGAGTTTTCAATACCAGACACTGTAAGGAAACTTGGGAAACCTGGTCCTGTTGCAGTATTTCATCACAACTCCGTCCCCTGCAGTCATCACTCACCAGCCTTTGTACAAGTACAACCCTGAGAAGTGGCAGCCATAATGCAATTGTCTTTTCCCCAAAATGTTGCATATCAGTTACAACAAACAGAGCCGCAACCGTCAAGGGAAGAACTTATTCTGGGCTCCTTTTTGACCACAGCAGCTATGAGGAAGCAGTTGCAGTTTTGATAAGGTCCTCCAGTGTGCTCCTTTTGAAAAATAAAGGAAGAACTTGAGGCATTGGTGGCTCATGCTTGTAATCCTAGCTAACACTGGAGGCCGAGTGAGCTATGAACAACACTATTTGAAACTGGTCTCAAAAGGAAAGTCCTTGAGACACTTATCTCCAGTTAATGACCAAAAAGCCAGAAATGGAGCTGTGGTCTGTGGTGGAGTGCCAGCCTTTGGTGAAAAAGCAAAGGGGCAACTTAGGGACCCAGTACTGGCGTAAAATAATAAGCAAATTTGAGGCCAGTCCAGGCGAAAAAGTGTGAAAGACTCCCATCTCAGCCAGTGGCTGGGCAATACTGACACATACCTGTTATCAATACTAGCTTATGGGAAAACTCAGTAGCTGGGTGTGGTGGTACATGCCTGTCATCCCTGGTGACAGGGGGAAGCACAAGCAGGATCAAAGCCTAGGTCATCTCAGACACGAAGTGAGACCCTGCCTCAAAAATTACTAGTGTTAAAGGGATTGGAAGCATGTCTCTAGTGGTAGATGGCCTGCCTCACCAGCACGAGGACCTAGCTTTAGTCCCCAGTACTTCTAAGAGAGAGGGAGGACTTATTTGTTGAAGCCTTTTCCCTGGCTGGTAGATCCAGTGGTTCAGGGTCATGAGAATTCTGATTAAATGGATTAACTCATTGATAAATTCATAATTTGATGGCATTGGGCAATGGTGGGAAAGGGTCCTGATGGGAGAAAGTAGGTCACTGGGTATGAACCTTTGAAAGAGGTGCTGTCCCTGGCTCCTTTCTGTTTCACAGCTCTCACATATCAACAGCCCTCTCCCCTTAGACCTTCACACACACCACTCTGTTGCATGTGTGCCACTCTGTTACAGTGTCTTCCCAGGGAGAAGGAGAAGAAAGATAAAGGAGGGTGAGCGCCCACCTGTAATCCTAACTACTGAGGAGGCTGATATCTGAAGATTGTTATTTGAAGTCAGCTGGGGCAGGAAAATCCATTAGACTTTTATCTCCAATTAACCACTAAAAAAGCTGGAAATGGAGCTGTGGCTCAAGTGGTACAGCACTAGCCTTGAGAGAATTGAGAGGGGGAAGAAGAGAAAGAGGAAGAGAAGAAAAAAGACCATAAACCTGTCATCCTAGCTGAGATGGGGAGGATCCCATTTGGAGGCCAGCCTTGGCATGTGTGCAAGACGCCTTCGCAACCAGTAGCTGAGTGAGGTAGCATGAACCTCTATGCACGGGAGGCCCAGAGTTACAGGACAGACATGGCAGAAAGAAGCTGTGCACTGCAGTAACACAAGAAAAATAGGGTGTCAGCCTTGAGCAGAAAAGCTAAGAAACAGTACCTACACCCTGAGTTCAAGCTCCATTACCAGCACCAAAAAAAAAAGTCTTCAAGGCAAAAGATTGCTAAATAATATTGCAAAATTTAAAAAATATATCGGGACATGGTGATATACACTAGTCATCTCAACTACAGAAGAGACTATAAAGAGGATTCTAGTGGCTGCCCGTGGCTCACACCTGTAATCCTAGCTACTCAGGAGGCTGAGTTCGAGGATCATGGTTCAAAGCCAGCCCAGGCAGGAAAGTCATTCAGACTCTTACTATAAAACATTACCTTCCCCCACTCCCTCCCCCACAAACACATAAAGGAAATGAAGCTGTGGCTCAAGTGGTAGATTGCTAACCTTTTTTTTTTTTTTTTGCCAGTCCTGGGCTAGAACTCGGCCTAGGCACTGTCCCTGAGCTTTTCTGTGCTCAAGGCTTAGCGTTCTACCACTTGAGCCACAATACCACTTATGGCTTTTTTTGTGTGTATGTGTTACTAAGGAGTCGAACCAGGGTTTCATGCATGCTAGGCAAGCTCTCTACCACTAAACCACCTTCCTACCCCCGTTGCTAGCCTTGAGCAAAAAAAGCTCAGGAACAGAGCCCAGGCCCTGAATCCAAACCCAGACCTGCAAAAAAAAAAAAGAGGAAAGGAAAATAAAATACTGGTTTCTCTTTTCGATCGCCCTTGCTAAGGGACCCTCTGATACTTGTCTTACCACTAGCTCATTTTTACTAGCTTTCTGGTATTAGTATTTATTGTTTTTGCATTATACCGATTCATATAGCCTATAGGTCTTCGTAATACAAGTTGAAAATCGTTCATCCAAAATCCTTGGGACCCAGTGTTTTTGGATTTTCAAATATTTGTATATACATAATGAGATGCCTTGAGGATTGGACCCAAGTCTACACATAAAGTTCAATTATAATTCATATCTGCTTTATACATATGGCCTGAAGATAACTTTATATAATTCTTAAAATTTTGTGCAAGATAAAAAGGCAACCTACAGAATGGGAGATCTTTACCAGCTATACATCCAACAAGGGCCTAATATCCGGAATATATAAGGAGCTCAGGAAACTAACACACACACACACATACACCCTAAATCAATAATTCAATTGATAAATAGGCAAAGGAGCTAAATAAAAGCAGCAAGAATGGCTTCTTTCCAGAAGAAACAAAAATAGCTAATAACACATGACGATTGCTCAACATAAAAGAAATGCAAATCAAATCAAAATGAGCTTCTGTGTCACCCTGATGAGAATACCACATATGCTATCAGGCATACACAGGGAGGAGGAGAAATCAACTCTATTGTACTGTTAGTAGGAATGTAAACCACCTAATATGGTGTGGAGATTCCTCAAAAAACAGAACTAGCGGGGCTGGGAAGGTGGCTCAGTGGTAGAGCGCTTGCCTTGCATGCATGAGGCCCTGGGTTCGATTCCTCAGTACCACATAAACAAAAAAGAAAAAGCCGGAAGTGGCGCTGTGGCTCAAGTGGTAGAGTGCTAGCCTTGAGCTGTAGAGCTGAGGGACAGTGCCCAGGCCCAGAGTTCAGGCCCCACGACCGGACCCAGAAAAAAAAAAAAAAACAGAACTAGCTGGGCGTTGGTGGCTTACATCTGTAATACTAGCTACTCAGGAGGCTGAGATCTGAGGATCATGGTTCAAAGCCAGCCTGGGCAGGAATGTCTGGAAGATTCTTTATCTCCAGTTAATCACCAGAAACCCAGAAAAAGCAGCTGTGTCTCAACATGGCAAAGAGCTTAGGAACAGTGCCCAGGCCCAGAGTTCAAACCCCATGACCACAAAAAAACACTACCACCACAAACACAGAACTGTCATAAGATACAGCAATATCACGCTTGGGCATCTGCCCAGAATATTACGAGTCAGAATACAGTAGATATTTACATGTCTATGTTTGTTGTTGCACTGTTCACAATGGCAAAGTTGTGGAAACGGCCTAGATGCCCTACAACAGATGAGTGGATCACGAAAAATTTAGTGCATGTATGTATACAACAAAATTTTACTCATCTGTAAGAAAGAATACGTCAATTACAGGGAAATAGACCTAGGAAAAAATAGGCTCAGAGAATCAAACAGCACATGTTTTCTCATGTGTGGAAGTTAGAGCTAAACTATAAACATAGGCCTAGAGGTGTAGCCGAAGTGGTAGAGAGACTGCTTAGCCAGCACAAGGCCCTGAGTTCAAATCTCAGTATCACAAAAAATAATAAAATACAAACATACATGATAACATATACAATGTTGTATGCATTATACACAGAAATTGATTAAATGATGGTATATTTAGGCAAGGAGTCCAGTGGTGTAACTCCTGAACAACTAATGAACTGTTTAACAAAATGAATACCAAGAAACCAAAACATGTTTGGGTGGGGCTGCAAACCAAGGGAGGAAGTGTGAGTAAATACAGTCACCTGATGTAAAATTTAAACTGTGGAACTTCTTGAGGGTAGGAATGGAGAAAGATCGGGAGAAAGATGGAAGAGTTGACATTGACTGAGAAGCATTGTATTCATAAGCTGACTCTGGGATTGAAATTCCTTTGTACAACTACTTAATAACCATCTGAGCAAGATAACCATTTGATTTTAGCAGGCTATCAAAAGGAGCCCCATAGCACACATAAATTAAGACTCTTACCATGGTTATTGTGACTAGAGTAAACTGGGAGGAGGAATGAGAGTAAGAGCCGGGGATACATGTCTGGAGTTTGCAGTAATGTAGGTGACAATAATAACTTAGGGCCAAACTACTGGCAGAAGAGGTAGTGAAGTTGGATTTTGGATGAGTGAATGCATAATAATGAGGAGGAAATAAAAGAAAATATGGAATATGGCTCTAAAGGTTTCAGATCTGTGCAAGTGGGAAATGGACTTTCCCACTTGCACAGAAGTAGGAATATAC